GGCCAGCGGTGAGCAGGACAGTTCAGGGCACAAGCAGATCCTAAATAAAAATTTAAAAGCAGTGCCTTTTAAATATTCCCACTGCTGACAGTGAGGTTTAGAGGCACTACAATGTGTCAGAATGGAGAGAACCTGGTGCACTCACCATCCGGAATGAGAATATGGATAAAAAAATTCCAAAGATGGTGTCAGCTTTCTGAAAATAAATGAGCCCCTTCTCAATACATGATGTGGTGGTGCAGGGTTTTACTGGATTACAGCCCATTTTTCCAATCCATATTCCCTTAACTTGCTGGTAAGAATATTGTGGGTAGCCGTATCAAAAGATTTGCTAAAGCTGTGTCTGGGGGCTTTGGAAGGACCAAAAACATCATATTTGCATATTTATAATTTGTTTAATGAATATGCAAATATATGTTACCGGTCCTCCGAAAGCTCGTGAATGGATTTACTGGTCCCCGTGTCAAAAAGTTTGAGAACCCCTGCTTTAAGTTATGATCAGAAAGAAGCTGTATACTGAATTTAGCACTCCTAGCTCTTACCATTTAGGAATTCTTGATCAAGCTAAAATCTCTAAAATATATAGTAGATGTCATCTGAAAGGAAGAATAGGTGTTTCCATGTAACTTTTGCAGATGTCATTGCAAGGTATTTACATGCCACATACTGAATATTCATATGCCCCCTTATTGCTTTAACTACCATTCCAGAAGACATACTTCCATGATCATTGGTGGGGGGAGGGATAGCTCAGGGTACGTCTACACTGCATCCCTAGTTCAAACTAGGGATGCAAATGGAGACAATCGAAGTAGTTAATGAAGCGGGGATTTAAATATCCCGCGCTCCATTAACATGATCTCGCCAGCGCGCTAGTTCGAATCACAGCTGATTCGAACCAGGAAGTGCGCGCCGGGACGCGTTAGTTCGGACTAAAGCCCTTAGTCCAAACTAATGTTACTCCTCAAAAAATGAGAGAAATGGTCAGAACTTGGGTGCTAAGTTTTTTCAGGTGGTAAAAAATTTGGCCTAAATAATTGCATCTACATTTAAGATTCCACCAGCATTAGTATGAATTAATTTGAACTAGTGAGATTATTTTTAAATTTCCCAATTCAGATATAGCTTTGAACAGCTATGACTCAAATTGTTTATGACTTTACAGAGGTAAACCATCACTTCAGACTGCATCCAGAAACAAACTGGCAGAATAAGTTATAAAGCATCATGATATTGTGCTTCTCCAAAAAACACTGCTGAAGAGTCCAATGAATGGAAATGCAAGCAGGGAAGACTGCTGCCACAACAGACTGCTCAATCTGAGTCAGTTATTTTATCAGTAAAGTAACTCAGCATGCAATTCTCTTACTGAATTTAAACAGCCTGGACTAACTATCTGCTTACCACTTGGAATACTCCTGCAATAATTTTGTCCTGTAGCTGGTCTTACTCTAAGCTGGACCTTTGCCATCAGCACTTCAGTTATCTTCCTGCCCATTTCACCTGTGCCAACAACTAGTGACTTACTGAAGCAACTTCTGCCAACAAAATTGGGGAAAAAGTATATTTAGGGATCACTGTATCAATTAAGGATGTTAGATATTGTGTATTTTAGTAATAGTGTAGCTACAACAATTTGTATAATTTATATCAGAGGCCGCAGGGCAGCAGCAGCCCCTGTCCACAGAGGATCCAAGCTCCCCGTCAGGGCAGCAGCAGTCCCTGTTTACAGGGGACCCAAGTGCCCTGTGGACAGAGGCTGCCCCAGCATCCCGCCTGCCCCCCTCCCGCACTGCTGTCTCTGTATCAGAGTGCTGGGGTGGATGGATGCGCTGGTTCCCGCCTGCCCCATCCCCGTTGCCTCTGTGGGAGGCAGCAAGAAGGGGGCAAAGATGGCTCCCCACGCGTATGGGCTCCTGCCTGCTCTCCCCTTCCCTGCACTGAGGTAGCAGCATGGGGGGTGATGATGCAGGCAGCTCTGTGAGATCTGGTGCTCCCACCTGCCCCTTCAGGCAACAGGGGGTGGGGGAAGGCGACACTGTGGGAACTAGCACGAGCAGGAAGCCAGCTCAAAGTCAGCTCTCCATGACCATCAGCTCCCACCTCTCCCCACCTGCTGCCTCCAATATAGAGACAAGAGGGTGTGTGTATGTGTTTATGTTTAGTTTGGATTAACTGATAAACGTAGGTTTACCAGTTAATTGTTTATAGGTATATATACTAACATCCCTAGTATCAAGAAAGCAGGAAAAAAGATTATTAATAGGCCCAGATCATCAAAAAATAGTTAGCCAGTTTTAGAATTAAGCACAAACATTGAGGGCATGTCTACACAACGAAGATCAACCCTCCAGAGGTTGATTTTCTAGTGCTTGATTTAGCGCGTCTAGTATAGACCCCCCAAATTGAACTCTGAGGGCAACCCCCACTGGCATTTCATACTCCTCGATCTGAGAGAATGAGGGAACCCAACGGGAGCTTATGCTTCCATCAGACTCCAGCACTGTAGACTCTGCGGAAGCTCGGCTTAAGATAAGCCGAATCTAGCTACGCATTTGGCATAGCTGGATGGTGTACCTTAAGCTGAACTGCCTGGTCTAGTGTAGACCTAGGCTTGCTGTTTTCTGACTAAGAATGAGTGAAAGTCTACCCCAGCTACCCAGGAAAAAGGCTAGATGTGAAACAAAAATGTTGTTGAAATATTCTGCTCTATTTTGCTAGTAGTTTATAATACTCTAAAAACAAACATGATTATTGTTCTGGATTTACTATTTGTTTTTGTCACATGATGTTATATAGCACTTACCCTGCTCTCTTCGAGGCTATCAAATGGACCTGGTGGATCATCCAAACAAAGAAACTCTCTCACTGCAAGGCTTCACCACCCAAAAAAAAAAAAAAAAAAAATAGCATACATTGAGCTGAAGTGTAAAAGAAACTTGCAACAACATCTAAAGATGAAGACAGCTGACAGGTTTCTGCAAGGGACTAATGATTTTGTTCATTAAAGGAATCAATCTTTTTCTATTATTCCTGACAATGTACATGAGTGTACATAGTATTCTTTTTATGCCACGTTTATTTGTTTAGCCAGTAACAGTACTATTCATTTCTCATAAGATTTTGCATCCATGCATATTATATATAAAATCCATAATATATCTGTATCTAGATCTAGATCTAGATCTACACACACACACACACACACACACACACACACACACACGGGAGTTTGTAATTTCTCTAAAACTCAGAAATCCTTATTTTAATCTACAATTTGTCAAGTTACTTTCCAGGTACCTTAAATATTTAACAATAAAGTTCTCCTACTTTTTAAATATTAAAAGGTGACCTAAGATCACAATAGTACTATGTAGTAAATGCTAGAACCTATACATATGGTTCTACATAAACACAAGGGTATACCAAGATGGGTCTATTTGCATGATCCCAATCCATTAATCCATATACATAAAAAAAAAAATGACTGAATTAGGTGTTGCATGGATGAATTACATGTGAGTGGGTTGTATTGCGTCATTACTAAAACCTGTATTTTGTACTTGATTCTAATTTGCTAAAAAAAATTACAGTAGAAAACACAGGATAGACACAGCAAGGAATCAATATGACCTATTGTAAATAGAAGTATATATTTAGCAGACTGAGTACTTAGATGTAATTCTTATGCTTTTTGGTTATCTTGTTTCCAACACAATATGAGCTTTGCAGTATTGGTCACATTATTCTAATCCCACATTTTGTAATGTAATAGAATTACTACCAAAATAATGTTGAAACTATATGGTTTTAAATACATTTAAACTGTGTGAAATCAAAGGTAAAGATATTAGAGGACAATGGTGAGCAGCAGTACTTCTGTGTAATAATTTTTCCGTGTTATCCATACGCAAACTCATTCAACACAGCTCTCATAAAAAAAAAAAAAAAAGACTATTTCAAGCTATTGACTGTAGAACCAGGTAAAGATGGTCAGCTTTTTAAATGGTCAACTAAACAAATTGACACCTTGCTCTAATGTTTTTCAAGAAAGCCCAACTTGGCAACTTTCTAAGTTTGAGTAACTATTTTTACATGTGAAAAGTGTTGGATTGTTTTTTCCCCCTCTAGATATAATACACTAATAGATCGCTCTGTAATTCAATTTATCATGGCTGGAGCAAATCTAAAATTAGCAGTTGGATTAGAACTAGCCTCAATACATAGGATTACAGAGTGATTTGAAGTACTATATAAATAGTTAAGCCTCAAAATTCTTAGGAAAACCTATTTTAATTGCAGAAAACCTTTGGTCTGACCCAGTATGGCAGTTCTTATGTAAAACTGAAAAAGATAGGTTGCACTGGTCATAATTTGAATAGGAAGGAAGTCTGAAAAGTCCTATAATGGAAGTCTGGATGCATTCTTAACTTCAGAGTCAATACTGCGCCTCTAATGTGGTCTCAAACCTCCACTTAATCTATACAGTAGCCAACGGATTTCCAAGACAGGAATTGTTTAGGGTAATGTAAGGGGTAGTGCTGCCTATTGTGATAAAAGAAATGGAGTGACTGGGGCAAGTGGAAATTTAAACTTAAAATTAATGTTGCCAATATTTAGAGAGGGCAGTCTCAAGAGGGGTCATTCAAAAGTGAGTTGAAAAAACTTTCAGGAAAAGTTTACAAAAGCAGGGGATCTTGTACATTTCAAAGGAGGAATGTGGAAGTGCCTATCGACTAGTCAATTAACTGCATTTTAACATCCTTAGCTCTGTCCTATTAAAGACTGGATTTCTATTCCTGTCTGATGCGATCTTGCACAATTTTTCAGTTATCCTACATATAAAAAATGTGTGAATAATAATTACACATTTGAAAGGGGCATGCAACAAACTCAGCTAATATAGGTGGTGAAATATACAAAAACATTAACAGCAGTCAGTGCAAGACATGAGACAACTCAGTGTCTCTTGGCTTCAGATACATTCCACTACACTATTAGATATTCTGTTGTAGAACAGATCTCTCTCTAAGATGCATGACCAACCAGTTAAATATAAGAGTCACAGAGATGTGAGGCCCTTACTAGATCTACAGATGCATGGCAGGAGAGTAAGGGCTTGTCTACACAAGAATGTTATACTGCCATAACCAGGGCTTGACAAACCCCGGCGAGAGCTACTCGCTCACCCTGCACCACACATGCGCCAGACTGGCACTGCGCATGTGCGACATGCCGGTGAATGGGGCGCACGGCCCTGCACCACATGCGACATGCTGGTGAATGGGGCGCACGGAGCGACTGGCTGAAATCTACTCTCCATGGGCAAGAAGATACATGCCGGTGAATGGGGCGCACGGAGCGAGAAGATTCAGCGGTTTGTCAAGCCTTGGCCATAACTATACTAGTATATAGTTTTATTAATACAACACCCAGAGTTTAGACTGTTACACCAATATTGAGGGGTTTTCTACAGATACAGCTGTTCCTAAATGGTAAGTGGAGTAATTATACCAGTATAACTCCAGGAATAGTAGAACTTTCCCTGGTGTAACTATTTTGTTAGAGGCAAACAAAACTGTAAGGACAATTCTAAAACACATGACACACACACACGACACACACACACACTTTAAAGACAGAGATGTACAACTTGACCAAGTAACAATTGTCAGAATCATAACTACATTTCTTAACTTTACTTCATATAGAAAACAATACTTTTACTAAACAGTTTTGTATTCAATTTCTTCGTGATGGCAGCGGTTGAAAAAAAGAGAATGTAACTGTTTAATCCCAGAATGTATAGTATACTACAGTGTACAAAATTTGATTGCAGACTGAGCTGACCAGCAGAAAAACCTATTTTATTCAGGTTCTTGTGATGCAGCCATTATGATGGCCAATTTAAATACTTGGTCTCCACTGCCTTACAATCTGAGTACTACCCAACTATTTAAAAGAAATAACAAGTCTTACTTCCCAACTTGATGAACAGCTTGATTAGTGTAACATTCCCTCCCATGTACAGGGTCTATGTAGGAAGAACTTAACGGAGGAAAAATGAAGCTTAAAAAGGTTTTGCACTTAGCTCTGAAAGTGGGAAGGGCCATGAGTAGTCTCATATCAGCGGGACTCTTGAAATTTGTATTGTATTATGGAAAACCAGAATATAGAAATACTTGTGTTGTTATATCACTGCTAAAACTAACTTGCATAGTGACAGTGTTATATAGTATAAACACCTCACATCTATTCACATGGAGAAAAGTGATTTGTAGAGTGGCAGCATAGGATCTTAAAACTGTGAAAGCTTAACATCATCTCATTCAAATATAAATTAAAAGTCATATTAATTCTATATTCAGCACAAAGAAATAATCCCTGAATAAACATGCTTTGGTATTTGTTTTACCTTTACATTTAAAAAATGCGTAGTTTTTAATTAACCATATAAGATACAATATACCATAATTTCCTCTTTGGCTTACTGCAGAGCACAAGCCACCACATTGCCAACAAAATTCTATACCATATTGCTTATCTGAGCCTAGAGTGGCCAACTCCAGGTGTTAGTTGTATAACGAAAAAAGTGACACACGTACCAGTTAGCAATGTCTTTGTGAGCTACTAAATTCTGCAAGAATGCTTGTAGTCCCAACTGTCGATCTTCCAAGAAGTCAGGATTATAGTTATCCTTAAACCAGCGCTTTGGAGGAAGAGCCAATCGAAAGCCTGGAAACATATCTTTTAACTGAAAGAGAAACCAAAGGCAAATGAAGGAAGACTACAAATAAAGTACGTACTGAAATACTCAATTAGATAAACCACTAAGCAGCTCCCCTCCTTTTAGGATCAGAAATTCCCTTCCACCTCCATTGACTTAAGTACCATGAATATTTGGCATGCATAAAATGACTAATCCACATTATCGTGTAAAGTTCTAATCACAGCTTTGTCATTCATTGTTTGGCCCTGGACAATCAACTGACTTGTCTTCTCATCCTTCAGATGGAAAAATGGAGGAGGTACTCACCTCACTAGTGTGTTCTGATGCTTTATAATTCATAATGGTATAAAAATTAAAGTACTATATAAATGAGTAGTATTACAGAGTCAAACAGTTGCATACAGTTTGTAAAGCACATTAGGATTCTTTGGGATGTATAAAAGTATAAAAGCCATTACAAATCCAGAGGAATGCAAGTCACCCTTTTTTTGGGTCAGCCAACTGAAATCCGTTTTGAGGCACTTCGGGCATAGAGCATTCATATTTCAAGATACACAGATACAGCAAAAATCCCAGTGCAAAATATTTTGTGGCATATAATACAGCAATGAACTGTTTTTGAAGAGTCAGAAATACCTATACATTTTATATATTTTACCAGAATATAAAAAGTAAGTGTGAAAATTAACAGAAGTTCCTGATAACAACCAACCGTCCAAAAGAAATAAAACTTATTTTTTCAACTATGCACAATGATACTGAACTGAAAATAAATGTGAGTATCACAACAGAATTTGAGTCTGCTTTCTGAACAGTGATATAAACTCGAGGTGGGCCCAGAATAAAGAAACACTATGTATAGATACTATGTATAGATACTTGAAGGGAGAACCTTCACCTAAAGTCTGGTGCTCAATGAGTCACTTATGAAATACTGCAGATAGACATGTGTCTGTGCTTACAGACATATGTCGTATCAATTACTGAGTGCTGTAGGCAGTTAAAAACTATTACATGACAAAAACAAAAAATATATTGCCTAATGGTCTACTCCTAGGATAAATATCACCTTTATTTAATCCAGAAACCTCCATTTTTAATTTCAGGAATTTATAACTATCTTATGAATTCCAGTACTAACCTCGGTGAGAGGTTTTAAAAAAGTGTAATGTTCTCTTTACTTCAAGAGGATTCAAACATTAACATTTTAAAGAAAAATTCCAAATTAGGCCAAAGAAACTTTTGAAAGGATCTGAAAAGCGTGAAATTCTGCAAGTGAAATAAGACAAAACTCCCTACTAAAGTAGTTTTGCCTTTAAAACAAACAAAATATCTTTGTATGCTATGATGTAGGCAAAAAAACTTAGGAAACCTGAAGTAAAGGCTTTATATTAATGGCCTTCACTCACTCTTAACAAAACAAGACTCCCATGCCAATATCATGTGAAAATTTAGTCTTAGTTTCCAGTATTGACAATCTATATCCTAAGTAATATCTTTTGTAGTGCCTTCAATCCCTTATCTACAAAAGAAGGCTAAGCTTTTCCCCAAAAGCAAAAAAACTTAGGAAACCTGAAGTAAAGGCTTTATATTAATGGCCTTCACTCACTCTTAACAAAACAAGACTCCCATGCCAATATCATGTGAAAATTTAGTCTTAGTTTCCAGTATTGACAATCTATATCCTAAGTAATATCTTTTGTAGTGCCTTCAATCCCTTATCTACAAAAGAAGGCTAAGCTTTTCCCCAAAACAAATCTTACAAAATGTTGTTTGTTAGATGGATGACGAGGCCGCTAGCAACTAAATTGAAGCCACTAACACTATAGCTAAGGAAAGGGGGGAAAAATGAAGGGAGAAGGTATGATCAGGCTGTAGCTCTTGCCAAAGCAGTACACAGAAAGATGGAGTTAAGGCTCTGAAATGTGTTCAACAAAACCCAACTACAGTAATTCCCATTTAGTGGTCTTCTAGTAGTTTAAACATTTATTGTATTTTGACACTCGATGTTATACATGTGGCCCAGAGCACTGTTCTTCCAAGTGTTTCACAGGCCTGATTTAGGAAATCCACTAGCAGGCCTGTGCCATTTCATTCAGCTAAAGGATCTGCAGCCACGGACCCTCGTAGCTCCCATGGGTTCCGGTTTGCTGATTAGACCCAAGGGAGCCACAGGAAGCGGCAACACAGACTGCTTCCTATAGGCTGGAATCAGTGAACCGGAGCCACGAGACTCCGTGGCTATGGACCCTTTTGGTAAACAAAGTGGTACAGGCCCATTAGTGGCTTTCCCAAAGCAGGCCTGCAGAACACTTTGAGGACTACTGGCCTAGACAAACACAAGGGAAATGCTGTATATGTGCAATGTGCCAGTTGTTACTTAAGTTCCAAGACAATAACCAAAACACAGGTTATAACTATTACTGCTCACAAATTTCTTTGGGTCTGTGTGCCTAAACCATCTCTTGATTGGTTAGTCAGAAAAAAAGAACAAAGAGGAAGACTAGAACAAGTAAAAATAATTTAACAAAGATGAAGAGACAAATTATAATGTGTTTATAAAAACAAAATGAAATATCAATTAACACACCGAAGAGGAAATAGAAGTGCCAAATAGTTAAGAGACAAAAGCAAAGCAGTTACTCTTGAGAATAAAGAGGAAACATAATTTCTCTTTGTAGACTTCCATACTCCTAAACGGTGGGATATGTGAAAATGTGTGTTCTACAAATATTAAACAATTTTGTCCAGCAGAAATTCCAAAAGTTCATAGTAAGAGGCTATTATTTCTATAAACTTCAACATTAAACTGCTGCTCTCTTCAAAATTAGCCTTTATTTTTATGTCAGCTTCTTGTAATTAAAAATCAGTTCTTATGGACTCTATTCACTCCCAAATCTCTGAAGACTAGCATTTCCCATAAACATCTAGGAAATGCTTTTGGTGTTCATATAAATCAGGAGCATCAACTTATACTGTTGAATAATCAATACAATTCTACTGCACTAGAGGTACCATAAAAATGAGGAAGCTATATAAATAATATCACTTTTGTAAGAGAAAGATGGAGTTGAGGCCCTGAATGTGTCCTGGAAGACCAACTAATTCACATTTAGTGGTCTTATTGTAGTTTAAACATCTGCTGTATTTTGACACCTGTTACACAGGTGGCCTAGGACAGTTCCATGGAAACACTTAGAGAAACACTTTACCCGGCCGCACCGGTGTGCTTGCTTACTTACAGCCACGAAGCCTCGTGGCTCCAATTGGCTCCGTTTCATCCTTTGCAGCCAAGAGGAGCTGCGGGAAGTGGCGTGGGCCAAGCCACCGCTTTCTGCAGCTCTGCTAGGCTGCAAAGATCGAAATGGAGCCAATTGGAGCTGCGAGGTTCCGTGGCTGCAGCACTGGTAAGTGAATACACCGAGGCGGCCAGTTAAAGTGTTTCTCTAAGGATACGTCTAATCTACACCCCTCTGTCAGCAGAAGGATGTAAATTAGACATATTGAAAGTGCAAATGAAGCCAGGATTTAAATATCCCGTGCTTCATTTGCATAATGGTGGCCACCACTTTTTTCGAAATGGAGCTTTTCCAAAAAAGCAGCGGCCGCCATTATGCAAATGAAGCACAGGATATTTAAATCACGGCTTCATTTGCGCTTTCGATACATCTAATTTAGCGGCCCTGCTCGCCAGCCGTGCGGTTTTGCGAGCTGCCCATGCGCAGATCGCACTGTGCTGGCTTGTAATCTACTCGTCACGGGCGAGTAAATTACATGATTTGTCGAGCCCTGCTAATTTACATCCATCTGCCAACAGCGGGGTGTAGTTTAGACACACCATAAGTGTTCCCACAGAACACTTTCAGAAACATTGGCCTAGAGGATTAACCAACCAAAGACTTATTTTAGGGCTGTCAACTGACCTGCGTTATGCCTGCAATTAATGCAGGACAGGATTAATGCATTATTTTTTTTAACGTGTTAATCACAGGAGTTAATGCTGCGTTGCCCCTTTGAAGTGGCACTCCAGCGCTTCAAAGGGGCAGTGCAAGCATAGCCCCTTGGAAACACCGCAGCACTTCCAAGAAGTAGCGCTGCATGGAGTACAGGGTTAGCTGGGGACTCCTGCTGATCCCGGGTTCCATACAGTGCTGCCCTATTGAAACACAGCTGCGACGTTTTAAAAAGGAGGAGCACACAATTAATAGTGCGATTAAATTTTTTAAGAACATACATAAGAACGGACGTACTGGGTCAGACCAAAGGTCCATCTAGCCCAGTAGCCTGTCTGCCGACAGTGGCCAGCACCAGGTGCCCCAGAGAGGGTGGACAGAAGACAATGATCAAGCGATTTGTCTCCTGCCGTCCCTCTCCAACCTCTGACAAACAGAGGCCAAGGACACCATTTTATCCCCTGGCTAATAGCCTTTTATGGACCTAACCTCCATGAAATAATCGAGCTTCTCTCTAAACTCTATTATAGTCCTAGCTTTCACAGCCTCCTATGGCAAGGAGTTCCACAGGTTGACTACACGCTGTGTGAAGAAGAACGTTCTTTTATTAGTTTTAAATCTGCTCCCCATTAATTTCATTTGGTGTCCTCTAGTTCTTCTATGGAGATGAAAATTCAGTTATACTCTGAGTCTAGCTAGGAAAATGAAACAAAAGACAGAACTAAGCAGCACTTTAAAGACTAACAAGATGGTTTATTAGGTGATGAGCTTTCTTGGGCCCGACCCTCTTTGTCTATTTTATATGTGTTCCCTTTTTTTTTTGCTTGTATCCCTTTGGTATATATGGTTGTGCCAATTCTCTTCCACAATCTGATCTGAGGAAGTGGGTCTGGCCCACGAAAGCTTATCACCTAATAAACCATCTTGTTAGTCTTTAAAGTGCTGCATAGTCCTGTCTTTTGTTCCAGCGACACCAGACTAACACGGCGGGACAGTTCCTCAGATTCATCACCCACAAAGGACGGTGCAGATTCAGGAATCTCCCCAACGTCCTCAGCCGTGAAGACTGAAGCAAAGAAATCATTTAGTTTCTCCGCAATGGCTTTATCGTCCTTGATTGCTCCTTTTATAGCTTGATCATCTAGGGGACCCATAGGTTTTTTAGCAGGCTTCCTGCTTCTAATGTACTTAAAAAACATGTTGTTTTTTCTTTTTGAGTTTTTGGCTAGCTGTTCCTCAAAATCTTTTTTTGCTTTTCTTATTACATGTTTACACTTGATTTGACAGTGTTTATGTTCCTTTCTATTTATCTCACTAGGATTGGACTTCCACTTCTTAAAAGATACCTTTTTGTCCCTCACTGCTTCTTTTACATGGTGGTTAAGCCACGGTGACTCTTTTTTAGGTCTCTTGCTATGTTTTTTAATTTGGGGTATACATTTAAGTTGGGCCTCTATTATGGTGTCTTTAAAAAGTTTCCATGTAGCTTTCAGGGATTTGGCTCTAGTCACTGTGTCTTTTAATTTCTGTTTAACTAACCTCCTCATTTTGTGTAATTCCCCTTTTTGAAATTAAATGCCAGGGTGCTGGACTGCTGTTAATTGCTTCACAGCCCTACTTTTATTCAAGTGTTTAATATTAAGACCCTACACTCAGATATATACCCATTCCTTTTATTACAAAGCAGTAAAATAATTTCACTTGACAAAAAAAATCCTGTTTTCTAAAAGTGATAATTCCCAGTATTTTCCAGTCATTAGCATAAACATTTTGGCCCATAGCCCACCTGCCTCTATGCAAACCTTTCTGTAGACCAGATTCTTTGGACAGTCGCTAATGCAAACTCACCATTAATTACATAATTTTGTTCAGGGGTCGACAAATTATGGAAAACCCTACTTGCCAGACAAAAAAGGGACTCGCCACCCTCCACCACAAAAAGTGTTTTTTAAATGGCATAAATTCCTAATAAGAATAAGAATAATTACTAATAAGTTATTAATAAATATCTTATAAACCTCTACCTTTTCTCTCCACTGCCATCTCTCCTCCCCATGCTTCATCAGCTCCCCTGGTGCCTGCTGCCCCCCCCATCCCTCACCCAACTCTGCTGTCCTGACTCCTGCCCTTCTCACCTCCCTCAGCTTTCCTGAGACCTGCCCCCCTCCAGCAGCCTTTCTCTCCCCCCTGTGCCCACTCCTCCAGTACCCCACTCTGATCATGTGAGCTACCCCTCTTCATCCCCTCTCCTAACACCTCCCTCTACACACCTGTGCTGCTTCCCCCACAGAACCCTCGGGCCCCTGCACCTTCCATTAGCCCTGTACCCTCCTGGTGCCTTCCCCTTCCCTCCCTGCCCCTGCCACCTTTGCCCTCTTTTTCCCTGATACCCACCCCCTCACCACCCTCTGCTCCCATTCCCCTTATGCCCCTGCACCCTCGCACATGCCTTGTTCCATCCCCGCCTTCCTCATGCCCACCCCTTCTTTCAAGCCTTTTCCCAGCACCTCCCCCTCCCCCTTCTAGCCCCCAGTGCCCTTACCCTCTCTTCTCCCAGCATCACCCTGTCCTCCCTCCCACTGACACCTCCCCTCCTGCCCTTTTCCTCATTGTCTATTTCTTTCTTTTTTTCCTTAAAGGCAAAGGCGCTTCAAGTGAACTCTCCCTTTCACTCGCTGCTGGGTCACAGCAACCTTTTCCCTGCCCTGTCCGCCCCTCCCTATGGACAAGCACCCTTCACTCCCGACCCACAGGGGGAGCAGGGTGCAGGGACAGCACAGAGCCAGAGGGGTGCAGAGAACAGTGGGGGAGTACAGGGGTAGCGTGGAGAATGGGAGGCACAGAGCCAGAGGGACGCAGGGATAGGGAGGAGCAGGGTGCGGTGGAGGCACGGGAAATGGGAGGGGCAGAGGGATCGGGGTCTAGGAGCAGTGCAGGGAACGGGCAGCACAGAGCTGGGGGGGCAGGGATTGGGGGGGAGCAGGGTGCTGTGGAGGCACGGAGAATGGGACGCAGGGAATGGAAGGGGCAGAGGGATCAGGGTCTGGGGCAGTGCAGGGAACAGGCAGCACAGAGCTGGGGGGGCAGAGATAGGGGGAGCAGGGTGCGGGGTGCAATGGCAGCGCAGAGCCAGAGGGTCACAGGGAAGAGGGAGAGCAAGGGGTCCAGGGAGCATGGGTGGCGCGGGGCAAGGG